ACGTCCGGTCACCAGAAACGAGGGCGATGGCGACTGAACTCTCAGGCGGCGATAAAAAATTAAATATATATATATATATAATTTTTTTTTTAAATTGAAGCTGATGCGCGGATGCGGGAGGAATTAAACTTTGACGAAGATAAAACTTCTCTGCCCAATCTTAAGTAGACGAAAGAGCGACGTGCGAGAAAATCCACGGAAGAATCGCAACAGATTTTTGAAGGGGCGGACTCGGTCGTTCAAAGCGAGGAAGGGAGAGGAAAATATCTGTCCGATTGTGCACGTGCAGGTGATAAAGAATGGGCCAAACACATATGGGCGAAATAGATTGGGCTTAGAATTTTGAAAGGAAAATGGGCCAATAACAAAATAATCAATATGGGTCAAATATTACTCAAAGCTCGGTAGAGAATAATGGCTCGATAAAACAACCGCGATAACAAGAATTTCCGATCGATCTGATTGACGATAAATAATAAATAAAAATTAAGCGACTTATTAAATTAATTAGACGACATCTAATTAAATCATAATAAGTCTAAACGAAATATGTCGAGCAATAGTACAATAGGCAACTATTTCATTTTGGCAATTTAATAAAATAATAAGAATATTAATATTTATTATGCCAGAAATATCCAAAACATCCAATAACCAAACGGCTTAGATTCGAATTACGCGATTAAACCGAAATCGCCGAACGACGAATGTTTTTAAAATAAAACGATCGACTACTTCAACATAGAATTTACGTCGACATTGCGACTAATACAATAAATATAATCTCGTAAATAAATTCAATAAATAGAATAATCCAAGAAATTCTATAAATCGAACGGGGCGCTACAAGTACTATCCTCATTTATCAAATCTCTGACCCAGATAACAGGACTACTCAAAGAAGATACTGGTTTTGAGCAGCAGTGATTCAAATTAGGCACCCAACTATGATAAAGAATTTTTGTTTGACCCTCATTTTTAATTTCCCTCATCAGGCCTTTTCCAAACAAAGGAATCATGTCTACCCAATTATTTCACATCCAAGAGGCAGCCTGACTTCTTTGGACATCAAAGATAGAAGAAAATGAAAAGTACCTGGTTTTGAACCTTGCTGACCAACAACTCAGGCATTGCAGTTATCCTCCAGAGTTGTTTCAGTAAAAGAGCTTCATTGAAGAGTTTATAATCCTGAAACCCCAATCCTCCCCTGTATTTAGGAATAGTAATTATGTTCCACTTCTTCCAGTGCAAGCCTTTATCCTGCAGATTCCCTTTACTCCACCAGAAAAAAGTTGTAGTTCTACTAAGTTCATCACAAATAACCAGAGGTAGCTTGAAACACGAAATAGAAAACACTGGTAGATCATTTATCACTGCCTTAATCAGTATCTCTTTACCAGTTGTTGAAAGATACCTATTCTTCCAGTTGGACAGTTTGTTTTTCACTGCTTGGACAATATAGCCAAATGTATCCTTCTTAGACTTCCCTATGCCCAGAGGAAGTCCAAGATATCTGGTGGAATTGTGGGCCTAAATCCCCTTTAACATTGTGCAAAGTCTATTCTTCATTTTCTGTGGAGTGTTTTGCTGAAAAAGGCAGGTGATTTTGCTACGTTTACGTTCTGTCCTGAAAATCTCTGGTAGATTGTTAGCAAATCCATTAACCTCCAAATTTGCTCAGGCTCAACTTTAATACCAATGAATCATCTGCAAATAATAAATGTGTGAGAGTTGGTCCTCCCCTTGCTAACCTCAACCCTCTAAACCTTCCATTATCAGCAGCACCTCTAATGAGTGAGGAGAAAACTTTAGAAACAATCAGGAATAGATAGGGGGATATGGGATCCCCCTGTTTTAATCCTCTAGAAGGAGTCAGATAGCCAACAGGATTTCCATTTACCAGAAAAGAGAACATAGCTGAAGAAACACAAGCCATCACTCATCTAACAAATAAAGCATCAAAACCCAAGTTCAACATTGTTTTACACACGCTTCCCCATTCCACTCTATCATAAGCTTTAAGCATATCAAGCTTAAGAGTCATAAAACAGTTCCCTCGGATCTATGCCTGTTAAGAAAATGAAATCACTCTTGGGCTATGATTCCATTATCTATTAACTGCCGACCTGGAATAAAGGTTGACTGTGTCTGGCTTATATAAACATCCAAACATGACATCAATCTGCCAGCCAGAGTCTTAGTAACTATCTTATACACTACCCCACATAAACTTATAGGCCTGAATTGAGTTATAGAACTAGGATTAAGGCATTTATGAATTAATGCAATGAGTGTGTGATTTCAGTACCTCAATAGCTTCCCTGACTCAAAGAAACTGATAATTGCACTGCACACATCATCCTTAGGCACTGGCCAGAAATGTTAAAAAAACAAGGTTGACATTCCATCTTCACCTGGGGCCTTTGAAGGGTTCATTTGAAACAGGGCTTGCTCTATCTCAATTTCTCCTACATAAGCTTTCAATATATTGTCCATAGCTGGAGTATTCATCTGCTCAATATGCTGCAGAGCTTGATTCTCATGTATGGAACCCTCAGAAGAAAAGAGGTTCTCATAAAAATTTAGAATATGTCCTTCACTATCTCTTTGATTTTGGTATATCCTGTTCCCATCCACTAGCCTGGTGATTGCATTTTGTTTTCTTCATTGCACAGTCATAGCATGAAAGAACTTTGTATTTAAGTGCCCCTCTCTGAGCCAAAGCCCCTGGATTTCTATTGCCAGTGTTTTTCTTCTGAACAATGAGCAACATCAAGTTCTTTTTGGAGTCTCTTTCATTCTACCCAATTCCTCTCTCCTCCAAGCTTCCTCAATTCTTCTAGCTTAAGGGTTAGTTTCCCCATAACTTCCTTATTTCTAGACTTAAACAGTCTAGACCACTCGTAGAGTGCCACTCTTTTTTTTTTTTAATCTTTCTTTCAGCCTAAACATAGGTGTTCTCAGCTCCTCCTCTTTCCAAACATTGTTAACAATTTCCTCAACTCCTTCTTATAGAAGCCATCTCTTATCAAAAGAGAATCTTCTCTTATTGCCTATCATTTTGCTACCATCCTCAAGGATCAACATCCCATGATCAGGAGCACTCTTAGAGATGTTGATGACCTTAGCTTGAGGGTATTTCATCAACTAGCTGAGAGAAGAAAAACCTTTATCTAGAACTTCCTCCACAAAGCCTTCCTCTTCTCTATTATTTCCCAAAGTATACTTATGACCTGCCATGTTCAGTAAAAATATACCCATATGTGCTATGAAATTATTGAAGCTTTGGAAGCTTCTCTCTGATATGAGCTTGCCTCCTTTCTTCTCTTCTTGACAGCACAAGTCATTCCAGTCTCCAATTAATACCCAACACTCTCCCCACTTTTTACTTTCTCCCAGCAAAAACTCCCATTGGATTTCTCTTTTTTGTTTAATAGTACTAATATATACAAAAATGGCCAACTCCACATTGGAATCAACTCCAGCTTTGAACTGGACTTGGATACAACAACCACTCCCTGTCACACTCAGAACTTCAACCTCCTTGTCCCAACACAAAAGAAGGCCTCCCTTAGTACCTTTAGGATCTTCATAAATGTAGTGCCCCATTTCGTTTTAGGCGAGTTTGCATATTTTAGATTTATTCGCATCGTTTTTTTTTTCTTTTTTATATTAGGTGTTTTGCTCGTCAAATCCTCGCTTGTACTTCTGGCGGTTAATTGGAAGTGATCGCCTTGTAAATCTTTTAAGTCGATTGAGTAGTCGTGATCGTCTAAATTCAATTTCTGTAGCCTTTGTTTAAGCTTATCACGATTAATTAGATGGCTTCGTCTAATTAATCTAATAAGTCATTTAATCTATTATTCTTGTTAATCGTAACTTAATCGTCATCATCATTCGATTTGTAATCGCCCGTCGAATCGTTCAGTAATTGTTGTTCAATCACGTAGAATCAATTCGAGCTGTTTTCTTATCTTTTTCTTGAATTTGGACTCGACCCATTATTGCTAATTATTCTAGCTTAATTGATTTAATTATTTCAGTTTGTTGAATTTAATTTTTCGGTCTGATTAGATTATTAATCTTGCCAATTTTGATTTATTAGTGGTCCCAAAATTTTATTTGATAAGGATCAAATAAATCTTTTGTGTATATGGTAAGTTTTGTTGAGATATTTTCAATTTTTTTCCGGCTCCAATTATTCCAGTAACGCACGCCACTATCCCTAGAGTTTGAGCGTCTTTAGCGCTGCTTTATTCTGGAGCAATACGCTGAAGTTGAGTAAAAAAAGGCCTCCAACCCTGCGTTGAAATCTAGCGCTAGATGAGATATAGGAACAGTGTTGCGCCAGTTGTAGCGTAGCGCCACATTTTTTATTTTTCTTTTTCTTTTTTTGGTATTTTTAATGTAATATTAATAATAATTTTGTGTATAATGTGCACTAATAAATGTATTTTTATGCTAAATAATTTTGGGCAATGTATTTTTTATGCTAAATAATTTTTGGCTTTTTATTTATTGATGTATATAATTTTATTTTTTTATTTTTTAATATTAAAATGGTACCACATGAATAAAATATATTTTTATTATTTGACTAATTAACATTTTATATAAAATTAAATGTACATATATATACCAATTCATTTGAAATAAAATACATTTTTATTATTTAGGTAATAAATATTTATATATGATTAAATATACATGTATATATATATATACTAATTTATTTGAAATAAAAATAAATAAAAAATAATATATTTGATGTAGAGTAAAATGTGGAGATAACGGCTGGAGATGAATGTTTCACTCTAGAGTAGAGTAAAGTGGAGATGGCCTTAAGGCTAGAATATATATATCTTTTCTCTCTCCATTTGTTTTTCCCACATATATTAGCCTATATCTATTCTTCTCTTCTCCTTCGATCAGAATTTCATAGCAAATTTTCACGCCTAGTCGATCAAATTTTCGTCCCCAGAAATCCATCATAATCGACATCAATCAACAGCAGCCACATCTAAGCCCGAAACGCCACCGCCTTCTTCAGTCGTCGAATGAGTAGAGCAGTGCTGGAGGTCCTCAATTTTCGCCGCGCGTGAGTAGCAGCCCTCACGTCCTGTCGAAGAAGAGAACAAGAAGCCGAAAACCGAGTTCTTCAGCGGCCGGCGAACCTCCACAACCGCGCACCCATTTGCAGTGGCAACCCCGTCGTGCTCTTTTCAGCGAACAACAGCAGTTCGCCATAGCCATGTAGTCCCCGAACTTTTCCAGCAACGAGCAACAGCGGCGTCGTTGTTCACAACCACGGTGAGAGATTTCTGAGCAGCGGCCAGTCGAAAGAGAGACAAGAAGCAGACGTACAGCACCCCGTCAGCCTTGAGTTGTCCGCTCGAGAGGAGGTTTTGAGGAGCAGCAGCCGCTCGAGGCTTTTATCGAGCAGCCGTCGGTTTCATTTCCGAGGAGCAGCAGCCCAGATTGTGTTATACGACAAGCAGTGGGGACTTTTCCGACGAGCAGCAGCTCTCTCAGGCCCCGGGTGTTGTAGTAATTTTTGCCGGAGTTGAATCGCAAGATTCGAACACTGGGTCGTGTCTCTCAAGGAAGGTAAGTCGGATTATTATGTACGTTTATTCAAACACAAATAAAAGAAATAAAATTTCTACACATTCTAATTCAGATGGTTTGTTTTGGTTTTAATTATCAACAACCAAGAGAACTTAAATAACGCAATAGAAATAACAAGCAACAACGAAGAACAAATAGGATTTGAGAAGCTAGGGAGTCGGGGAGATCCGTTTTGGTTCGAATTACAATTAATGGGCAAGTGATTGTTCAGCTAAGTGATTTGAATAATCGACACGTTCAAGTACTCATTCTCAATAACTTTTCGTAACATGAGAACAAACTAGAACGACAAATTAACAATTCATTTAACTCCTAGGCAATACAGTTACGAACAAGCCTAGTTCATACGAGCCTATTGCGACCGACTCCTCCCCTTTCGGTTCTAAGAGTTGATTAAAGTAGACTAGAGGGTGGTTAACCGACCAATCAAATAGATTCACCAATTTCAAGCACGAATAAATCAAATTCAATTGAAACAATTGTAAGTTGAAGTGTAACCCTTCAACAATTATCAATACTCAAGCCTGACAGTTGAAAAACCCTTTAAAAAGATCAACTCGCATGAAAAGAACAATCAACGAACGCCCACAATCGAAATCGAAATCAAAATATCAATCCCCTATCCCTAGCATATGAATTTAGCTACTCATACTCGATTCAACATCAACAATAATCTCAATCAAGGAATTCATATTTAACGATAAAGTTAAAAGAGAAATCATACGACTGATAAATCCGAAGGTTGAATCTGATAAACAAGCTTGAATCCGAAAGCAATACTGAAATCCAAGTTTAAATTCGTGTTCTACGTCGAAAAGGATGAAGAAAAATGAAAAGAACGAGAGGAAGAGAAGAGGGGGTAGAGTTTCTCGTTTCTCGAGTCAAGAGCCCCCTTAATCGCAATCCCGATAATTTATTTATAGGTGCCATGGAGCACGGCGTGAGAATTGGAAGCACGGCGTGAGAGCTGGCTGTGTCGCGGCATGGTAGGGGCTTCGCGGCGCGAAGGGATCATCTGCCGCGGCGTGGAGAATGGAAGGCTCGCGGCGCGGTGCTTCTTCACGGCGCAGAGCGGGGACTCCTGGACTTCTCTGTACGCGTGATGGGTGTCGCGTCCCTTGCAGTGGCGTGGTGAACTGGTGGTTCCGCGGCGTGGAGACTGCCGCGGTGCGAGGCTGGAAAGGTGAGTCCTAGTACACGCGTGACGGGCATCACGGCGCGGCACTCGTGCGTGGGGTTCTGGGTGCTCGGGCTTAGTTACATCACTTTGCATTTTGTGTTCGTTCGAGCTCGTTTGGAAACTAAATTCGATTCCGTTTTCTCTTGCGTGTTGCCACTGAAATGCTCTACCCAATTGTATTCACCCGGTCCAATTATCATGAAAAATAAATCCTCCCAAACCTTCCATCCTGCACACCAAAGACAAGAAAAACCAGAAAAATACCCGAGAAACAAATAGATAGCCAAAATAGAACAAGACGCACAATAAACTATAAAAACGATTAAAAACTAATGAAAAGACCTAAAACAGGGGAAAAAGAAATGAAAAATAAGAAGGAAAAACGTAACAAAAATAGGACAAACAATTCCCCCACACTTAATCCTTTGTTCGTCCGGAACAAGAAGACACGAAAAGAAAACAAAAGAAAAGAAGACAAGCAAATGAGCATGGATAATAGTTTCAAATAAGACAAGTTTCAAATTAATCAATTTAGCCAAGGAGACTTCCAATGACCAATATATCACACCTTGCAACGCCTTGAAAAGACAAACTCTCAAGCATAGAAGTATAATACATATATGCCTCACTCAGTTTCTTGCATGAATATGAAATGGGTTCGCTCAAATTGGTCGATCATCCTGCTTCAACATAAGCTTGCCTATTGCCTATTCATACTCCAAATCAATCAAAGATCATGAATTTGCGAATCAAGAAGACTTCACGTGATGTAATGTAGGTATCAAAGGAAGGACAAATATAAAGATAGAGTGGATCAAATTTCGTATAAATGTTTGTTTCGATAGCTTTTGTATACGTGAGAACACTAGTCTAGGTGTCCCATTGATAGTGCCTTTGACGAATGCATAAGCAATGAGAGGTCACCTGTAATATCCCATTAAGTAATTAATAAAAGTAATTATTTCAGTTCTAAGTTAGAACTATTTTACTTTTATTAATAATGATCTTTTATATTTCCAAGCCTTAATAAATCTCTTAGAATTTTATTAATTATTTTAAGGTCAAGATCAATCCATTAATTTAGAAGTATAATTTAACAAAGGTTGGTCTTAGAAGTAAATTAAGTTCGTTCAAGTTACCCGTGCCGAGAAATTCCTAAGTTATAGTCGAGCCTTAGTATTAAATACTTAGAATTTTTCTAAGTGTTTAAGTCATCAAGCTAATGTAATGACCAGTTCAGTTAATAAATAGAACCGATTCAGTTTGCTCGATATTTAAGTGAAATCGGAAGCATTTTTCATTAAATCGTGTTGGTCAACTAAATGCTATTAATTGCCTAAGTAATTTTTATGTGACTTATATGATTTAATTGATAATTTATAAGGATTAAGTAGAAGTTATTTAGACAAGAAGGTCTATTTATAATATTAAGAGTATATTCAAAATTATATTCGCAAGTTTTGAGTTTTTTTCGGTGTTCGGTTGTAGTTGGTATTTAAGTCTGATTTCGGTTTCGAAAATTTTATTTTCATAGGTTTTCTAACAGGTTCCAAGATCACTATTAAGAGTTAAAATTTTAAGCATTGAAAAGGAAAAATGCAAAAAGAAAAAGATGGAAAATCCGAAATTTTTAGAATTTTCGATTTTACGGTAACCGTTCATTTTAAGTCAGAATTCGGTTTCGTATTAGGATCACATGATGACACTTTATAAGCATTGACTATATATTGGAGAAGTTTACAAGTTATGATTTCAATTTGTTTATCTTTATTTATTTTTTATAAAATTTTTCTAAGTATTCTTATGTGATAAATGAGCCATTTTAGCTTAATTTCGAGACATATTAAGGTCTGGTCAAAGGGAGGAGTTTTTGTCTTGATATATACAAGAGAAATCATGCATTTCAAGTACCTACCAATGCTTAATCAACTTTGTGCATGATTTTAGAAAAACTTTAATGGCAAGGGCCCTAAGGTGTTTATTATGATGGAGTGTTGATGTAAAGAAGGTGATGTTGTCTCCTTTGCTACTCTATATAAAGGGTCATCAGCTTAGAATCGAAATTCACACCAAATTAAGCAAAGTTTTAACTACAAAGTGAGAAAGAGAGAAGAATCGAGAGGAGTTTTGCCGAAGATAGGTTGAGATCAACTTTCGATTTTTTTCGAGTCAATTGAAGAAGGTAAGCTACTAATATTATTTATATGCTTTTTACCTGAGATTAGGTATTTATTGATTTATATTAATTCCTTATAAGATCAATTTATAATCGCTTATAGGCATGCAAGAAGTTAAGTTAGTTCCCAGCTCGCATGTATGTGATATGTGCTCTGTTTTAATGAGTTTTTGAGTATGATATGCATAACCTTGTAAAGTATGATTTAAATGAGTAATTCTTGTGTAAATGAGGAGTACATAGGAACAAGAATCATATCATTTGGTTTAGTATTACTTGAGATATAGATTTTTAAAGTTTATCATGCAAGCTGAATTTTATATACCTCTTTCTAGCAGCAACTTTAAACTTGAATAAATCAAGATATATGCGTGATAAAATTATGAAATTTTTATGACATGTCTAAATATGTGTTGAGAGCATGCTGACAAATTTCATTATTTTAGGTTGAGAAATGAATAAGTTAAAATGTTTAGACCGCATGTATGTCTATATGATTTTATAAGCAAGAGTACTCAGTTAATGTTCGAGATTTTAATGTGAAACTTTTATGTAAAATTTTCACATGAGTAATGAGCAATTTGACCAAGTTCAGCTTAATTTGTTGAGTATACGGTTTTATAAAATTGTTTGAAGTCTCGCATGTAAATAACATAATTTCATGTTATGATTAGCACTTGAGTTGAATGTGCTTTAAATTTGAATTTTTAGTACCAAGCATGTTTAAGTCGAGTTTGATAGTTTATAAATCCTTATAAATCATGTATATGATGTTGGTAAAAGTTGAGCATGTTTTGAGTTCATGTACTCGGTCATTTATCATGTGAAATTTAGCTTATTTTCACTCCCGAGTCATTTTAAGTTACATGCTATTATAAGCCAATATCCAAGCCTTAAAAGTCATGATTTATATGTAGACTCGAGTAAATTTCATGAAAAGTTAAGTTGTTCGGTGATTTAGTAGTCATTCGAGTCATATCGAACTTTAAAAGCCGGATAACTTATGTGATAGAATTGAGCATCCCAGCATCTTATTGAGTATATAAGCATAGTACTTAGTATATTTGTTTATATTTTTATGTAGCTTGAAGAGTCAGCTACCCAGAACAACACTTATGTTTTTCAAAATTTTTCAAAGAAGAAAGGTGGGGACCCAGCCTTGGTATTACTGTAGCGCCCCGTTCGATTTATAGAATTTCTCGGAATATTCTATTTACCGAATACTATTTATAAAGTTATATTTATTTTATTAGTCGCAATGTCGACTTAAATAAGAGGGTTGGAGTACTCGATCGTTTTATTTTAAAACGTTCGTCGTTCGGCGATTTCGATTTAATCGCGTGAACCGAATATAAACCATTTGAATAATGAATTTTTCGGATATTTCGGAATTATTAATATTGTTATTGTATTCTTCTATTTTATTTTCCTGAGCATTGTATACGATCGGGTTTTATGAAATTGAGCCCGATAAACTGGTAGTCGAAACTGGCCGATTCGTAAACCCGTTGTTTACGAATTATTTGGGATTTATTTATCATTATTGTTATTGTTATTATTATTATTATTATTATTATACGTGCGTATTTGTGTCTAGGGTGCTAAGGCATTAAAACCTAAGTATATATATATATCTTGTGCCTCTTTTTCTCGATGGATCAACAAACACCCACAGTCAAATATCTCTCGTCTTTTTTTTTTCTCTTGCGATCCCGCTGCTCTCTCTCTCTCGCTATCTCTCCGCGACCAGAAGAGAGAAATCCCGTCATCATCTTCTTCCTTTCCCGTCACCCTCATCATCACCTTCATCTCAGCCACCATCTCCGATCATCCCCGTCGCCTCTCTGCGAAATTCCGTTCAGAACCAGTCGCGAGCCCTCCGCGACGAGACCCCAGCAACGCCACAACCTGCTCTCCTTCCTCGCCGTGAACCACCCTGCTCCGCTGCAACCAAGGACAGCAACCCCGCGAAGTTTTTTTGGTGAGTCTTGTCTGTGATCCTTCGCCGCGACTCATCCCGGCAGTGATCCCTAGCAGCCGCGAAGAGCCTCTCCAGCCTTGCCGTCGAGCCGTCGTCGCCTCGTTTCGCCGCCGCTAGCCACCACGTGATAGCCGTCAGCCCCGTTCGACCTCCTTTATCCCTTTTTTCGAGCGTATTTCCGAGAACGGTATTGAGGCTCGATCCCTATCGTTATTTACGTGTTTAAATTGACATGTTGAACATGCTTTGCAAGTATACATATGCCTATGATTTTATGCGTTCAATTTGTTGATTGTATGTACACGATCTCTTCGATTTTGATAAATCGAGTGAGACCTCGTAATTGGTGATTAAGTTTCTGTGAATTGGAACATTATATCGTCCTTGGTCTTATGGTGAAGACCTCGGACGATTTCGTCGTGAATTGAGTCGGTTATGAATTTATGAACATATGTTATCGCTGTTTTGGTATTAAATTCATCATAAATAGTACGTTGGTCCGTTTGATGTGAAATTTTGTGAGTTAGGCCCTCATATGAATATGTATGTTGTGTAAAAATTTCGAATTACAATATTAAGTTAGTTATTCTTAATAATGGTGTTAAATTCTGAGCAGAATCATGTTAATTTCTTAGTGAATCGAGTTGTGCTCCAAAATTGATGAAATTTGAGTATGTTGTTTCCCTGTTTAGAGGTTGTGTAAATTTTTTTAGAATTTTTGGACTTCTTTTGCTAGGGTTAAAAATTGTTTAATGATTTCTGCAGAAACTTGTTTTGATTTTTATAAATTGATCTGAAGTGGTAAATTGATGAAAATTGGTGTCTGGTTTATTTTGTGATGTGCTTCAGTATGTAAAAAGATTGGATTTATTTGGTTTCATTTTGGTTCAGTTTTGATAAAAATTTGAAATCTGCAGAAACTTGTTTTAATTTTTAAAATTCATATATTTAATGTTAATAGCGGAAAATTTTTATATGTTATTATTCAAATGTTGTTATTGCTCGTGTGTAAATTTCATAGGCTAATTCGTTCATTAGGTCTGGTGTCAATTTAGGTTCGTTTTTGCTGTAAACTTTTGAGAATTTTATAAAATCATGTGTTTTGAGTTAAGGGCTGAAATTTGGTGGTTTTACTAAGTCTAGTGAGGTGGATTTTTGGTTAAAATTTTAGGGCTTAACTCATTCGGTGACCTGACCAACCTGATTATGTGAATTACCGGCTTTTATTTCGAGAATGTAGTTTTGTGCTAAAAGCTATAAACCGGTTCACTTGTTGCTCTTGAGACTTGTTTGGATTATCTCTTATGTGACATTACGTGAACTCCCATGTTTGGTTGATCGAGTCAAAGTCCAATAGTTCCAATGTCCACAGGACTTCACGAACAACTTAGTCGAATCAAGTTCGACTAAGTCAAATTTGTGATTTCCCTTTTAAGTCAAAGATAAGGTGTTGATTTTAGTATCTTGATTTAATGTAGGTATTTTTAGGTGTTGACCTCAACCTGCTTTCGAGAATCGTGATTGTGAATTGTCGCTTCGACCAAGTGGGTTTTATTAAAAATTGTCTATGCAATAAATTGTGCCTTACTTTTCTATGATCAATATGTGCTTACGAATCATGTAGCCTTCGATGTGAGCTGTACCGGCCGTCGAACGATTGTCCCCGTATTTATGAAAATAAACCCGAGGGGTTACTCCTACTAACTGGGCATCGCTAGATACCCGAGGGGCATTCGGTGTATAAGCCCGAGGGGCATAGATGTAAAGCCCATGGGGCATTCGAAACATGACCCAAATGAGGGCCTTCGATACATCTACCGGCAGTAGTCTATTGGTATAAATATGCACATGAGTCTGAACACTGTGAATTTATGACAAAATTTGGGATACTTGATTGATTCATATACATGCTGCAATCCTACTATTTTTATTATATATTAATAAATGTCTATTGCATAGTGGTGAGCACTATGATTTCTGATATAGCCACACAAGGATAACCCGGTCGAGAAGCTCCCTACCCGACCGGTGAACCACTCGAACAACTCGCATGTCGACATGACTCCGTCGACATTCTCACGTCGACTCCCCTAAAGACGATTCTACTGAGGACAATCGAGAAGTGGCAGAAATTGGCCTAGTCGACTCTTCCAAGTCGACCTTAGTCTATCGACTTTTACTAGTCGACATCAATGAAAGAAGGGCAACAAGAGTATAACGCCCGAGCATCCCGATATCCTAAGTCGACTCTCATCAGTCGACTGAACTAAGACGACTTCACCACAAAGGATTAGTCAAGCGTAGCCTCCGAATCCACACATATCCACGAGTCGACCTCCTAGCTCTCGAAGTCGACCTCGCATACCTCGAATAACAAAGATGTGATGACGACTCATCACACTTGCAACAGACTTGAAGTTCCACATACTATGAAGGATAAGAAGGAATCTGTTGATGACTCAGCAACAAGAGGAGACGAATTGACAGGGGCATTTTGGACCTTCTAGGTTCACCGACTTGGGCATTCTGGGTACTTTAGGTAAATATTCACTCCTATATAAAGGAAGTGAGCTAACCCTAAAACCCTAACTCTCATTCATTCCCACTCTCCCCCATAGCTGCTGCGCAGCCTCTCTTCATCTCTCTCATACTGACTTGAGCGTCGGAGGCTCTACGCCGGAAACACTTCCGGCGTTGAGTTTTTGCAGGAATCTCGCGGTCTAGCAGCGGTTGGGAAGCGGTTCAAGCAGGTCTGAGCTCACAACCACCGGTTTACTCCAGATCTGGAAGTAGACCCATTAATTTCCAACTGTACTCATCCCCACCTGAAATTAACGTTTCAGGTTAAGCAAGGCGGGCACGACGGCGGAGTAGAGCGAGTGGTAGTCGGTCTATGAGACCGGTTATTTATTGGTTATGCTTCCGCTATATTTATGATTATTTATGATTGATGAATTTTCGAACTCTGAGATTTTATTAAGTGTTGAGACACTATTGGGGAAATGCACCGTTGGCATTGTTATGTCTTGAATCTTGTGTTTTATTTTGGGAACCCGATTTGGGTGAGTTGATGATTTATGGATTTATGGATCCCGTGTTGGGAGTTAGATGATTTATGTTATGAAATTGATATTGTGTCATGGAAATGATTTTAAATAAATGAGTAACGCCACAAAGGTTTGAAATAAATTTTTAAAAATTTAATCTGATTTTTCTGAAAGTTCAGAATTTCTTTAAAATCAAAGTGGGGCGTTACAATTACACTATAATATTGATATCATGTCCGAGGTATGTATATCAGTTGCCTTAACAGTACATCTTAAGTTATGATGGAGGCCCTCAGTTACCTTAGAAATATCCATCAGAGTGTGCACACGTACCCGATCAAATATCGGCCAGATTACAGATTCAGTTTCAGTTACTGGAACAGATTTCCAGTCCAAATATATACCGACGATCATGATATTGTATTATTGTTGTTGTTTACTTTAGTATGGTTATTTTTTAGTACAAAACTACCAGTGCTCACCCCCATTGTGTTTTTCAGGTAATAGGGTCGGGGCAGAGGTGTGAGCTCGGATGTGGTGGTGATGGTCGTGCACTTGTGGACATTTATTTTATGGAATATTATGTCTGTATAATTATTCACGTTTTTAAATATTTCCACAACGCATATCAAGACTTGAACTTGCATGTTATTAAATATCAGATTTCAGACTTTAATCATTTCAGCAGTATGGATATGGTTCAGTTTATATGCGAGTTTAAATAAATCTGTTTTCTTTATGTCTAAACCAGTAAGTTAGACAAAGTTTAAAGATAAATGGATTTTTAGAAAAGATAAGTTTGAGTAGCATCACGAGTTAAGCGCATAAGATTTCGAAGTAAAAGTTCCGAAAAATTTACTCTGATAAGGGGAGTGTTACATCATCTGCTTGTTGTATCCTGGAAAAGGACAACCTGAACCGTTGTATCCGGGGGG